CACATGTATCTGAGCAGTATGTCCAATACCCTTCAAGGATTTTCTGTTACAACATCTGTCAAAAACCAACAGTTCAATTCTCAAGTGTTGATGGCAATGTTTATGTTCTGCAAAGTTCTGAAAGAATGTCATCATCTATAGCAAACACTAAAACCCCTGAATTACTTTGCACCACATCCCAATATTCCCTGAAAGAGTTTTATACAAAAGTTGGAAATGGCTATTTTCTATCACAAAGTCAACTTACTTTTAAAATGGAACATATACTGTTGCCTTCTTTTCACCAATATTTACAAGGCATTGCTGTATGTGTGGTCAACTGTGTAAATCTGTTCATATATTTAGACTATACATATAAACCAAGCATCAGTTAAGTTGGTTTGTCCAAATGCGTGATCACAGGCCTTCTATCACACTATCCACAGTATTTAGTTGTGTACCATATTTTACGTAAATAGTATGCACATTATACAGGTTTGTGACAACCACATGGCATTCAAACCCCTTGGGGACTGGCTTCCTTGAGCTCTATGTGTTACATGTGCATGCGAGTTATTGTGTGGGCAGGTTATATGCAAAAACACAGCAATTTTTCCTGTTGTTCTCCTACCTTTGAAAATGTTCTATTCTGTCTGTGTGCTGAGATTATAAGTATTCTAAAGAAATAATTCTTTGAAGTTACTGGTACACTGAAGGGACAATATATTTCCATTTAAAAGTAGTTTGACACTGGTTTGCAGTCAACTTCAAATTAACTAACCAACTAAGATAACCTTTTTTTTTCTTGACTTTGTAATTTCTAAATGTTTGCACAACAATCAACATTTGTTTTTAATTTTTTAAAAAGAAAATTCTTGTACCAATCACCCTTTAGATTTCTGTCTTAAATTTGTATAATATCATTTTAAAGATCTGGTATCATGCTCAATGATGTCAGAAACAACAAACATAAGAACACAGTTCAGCCAGGTTTAAATAGGCAACAAAGGTTGCTTTGGCAGTTTAAGAAGAGAGAAATCAGGATTTCTTTTACTTTCATGAAATATTAAACTACGGTAAGGCAATTACTGTTGTTAGACACTTGAAAATACATTTAATCAATGGACAACTGGTCCCACTTCTGGTATATTGCACCCCTACTTTTCTCCTCTATTTACTCTATGGAAAAAAGTGTTTTTTTAAAAAAAATTGATCAGTGGTCTTTCTCTTAAAAAACTCAAAGAAGTTCTGATTACTACTAAGGTAACTAATTACTCACAATGCAAACTTCTTAAAAACGACACTGAATAAATTTTACGTTGTTTTCCTGTCATATAATACTTCTGCTATGTCCTGCTCTCTTGAATCCACTTATATTGGGTTCAACTAACAGTGGAAGTACCTCTACTGAGGAATCAATACGTGTGCTATATTGTTTAAGCTGCCATTTAAGGCAAGGGCAGTGATTGCCAATGCTGGTTTCTGATCAGTATCATCTTGGAATATTATTTAAAATAAATCCTACTCCATCCCTTCCTCAATTTTCTCAAGTTCATTCCATCTTTCCTCTTATTCCATCATTTGTCATTCACTGATTCCCTTCTCTTTCTTCTCACTTTTTCTCACTTCCTCTCTTTTCCTTCTTTTTTGACCATTCTTTTACATTATTCATTGCTTCTCCACTTTCACCTCCAAAAAATTCCTCCTTACATGATATAAACAAATTTACTGGAGGCTTAATACATGTTAGAAAACATTTATCTTAAGTAAATGAAATGATCAGTACAAAAGACAACAAAGTGAAATAGAACTTCAATAGTAACACTGGTGTGGCTTTAAGTAATCCACAGAACACTTTCACATCCATCGCCTCTTCTGAGGCTCAATGAGGTTTGGAGGGCATATTGATTGTACTTAAAAACCTAAAACACAGAAGAAGTTAAATTACCTTCCTAAGGTTCAAAACCAAGAAAAAAGCCACAGTTCTAAATCACAGCCTATCCTTTTCATCTCACCAATAACATCTGACTAGAAAAACAGGAGAGTGATGGGTAAAGCAGAAAATATTGTTTAGGTTCTAAAGTGTCCAAGGATAATTCAGTTATTTCCATAATTAACTTCCCTTTCCAAGGGGAAGAAAAAAATGTAAATCACTATATATATAAATTTTTTTTTCTGCCCAAATGTTCTCTGAGTTCTCTTAAGATGGTTACTTCATACAAGATTGACTACTTTTCAAAGTCATCCTACTTTGGTAATACTGTAGCCCAGAGATAGTTCTGAGGTCAGATGTGTTCTAACACACAGACTCAAAGAATATGTAATATAATTGATATAAACTGCATAGATAACACTATGTTATAGGAAAAGAGCAATTATACTGAAACAAGGTGACACATTCAGTTAAGTTGTCCATCCAGACTTTAACTTCATCAACTCTGAGAATTTTATTTCTTGAGATTGTGCAAAAGTTTCCCTTGCCTGAAAGTCAATTCAGTAAAGTCATTTTAATATTGCAACTGAAATTCTATAATAATCTTCATTTTTGGTAAAACTAGTTCTTGAGTGAAAAGTTTTCATAATAACCTGATTTATGGTTAAAATGTTCAATTAGGCCAGGTCTGAAAAGCCCATGAAGAATGTTCTAAATAAAACACAGAGTGTGTGCCAATGTAAATAAGCCACACTGCACATGTTGTAAGACCACAAGATGCAATCCAGTGGCATAAACTACAGACACATTCTATATGGTCTCAATCAGTCATAGATTTCATGAGGCTTAAGCTCACTGAGGAAAATGATATTTTAAGGGATTTAATAATGTACAAACTAAGCTATGAGTTGTGGTTTAACTTCAAGCTTCAAATAGTCAACTAATCTCTGATGGTTACCAAACTAACAGCAAAATTATCTGAGGTGCCTAATAGTAGGTCAAAACCCAATATGTGGATTTTTCTGCACCTTGATCTAACAAATCTACTATAAAACAGTGTATTTGAAAAACTACAGAAATTTGCTTAAGGCTTAGATATTAGATGAAACCAAAGGACTGCTGTTAGTTTGTTCAATACAATGTCACTGAGGTTACTAAACAGTTTATATGAGGTGTTCAGTGAAATGACGATGTCTGGAATCTCCAAAAAGTATTTTGGCAATGCAAAAGGGATAAATGATGCAAAAACAGTAAAATATTGCTATATCTGATCTGAATGATAAGAAACATCACACAATTCTCATGTCTCTGTGTGATGCTGAAATCTTTCATTAAGAAAAATAGATTTGGTGGTATTCCAGTCTCCAAAGGAGAAATTTCAGCAATTTAGTCTTAAGCTTTTATAGAGTCCTATAGCCAGCCAAGCACTGGTGTCCTTTGGAAATCGCTAGAAATGATCTCATATATACCCTACAAACTTCCGAATTCTAGGATTCTAATTTTCTAGTTAATAGATTCTCCATTTCAACCTACCATATTCTTATATGTAAGAATGTGTACACTCAAACATGGCATTCTGCTCAGGGAGTACAAACATTCTATCTAAATCTAATCCATCTGTTTGAAAGGTGCTTGATTGATTACCAGGTTCTTTCTTCTGTGCTCACTCAATGTGTCCCTGACTGACCAGCAGAAGACAGGGGACCATAGTATTGGTTTCTGGGCATGCATACTCATTGTCTACAGAGGGCACTGTGTCATCAGAAAGCCAATCACTGCCATTTTCACATGGGTGACTTTCCTTCATGAGTTACTCTTCTCTAAGAATTAAAACAGTGAAGAGAAGGGGAAAAAAATTATGACCTTCTAGCACTTGGTAAAATAAGTGCCCTGCAGCACACAATACATGTGAAGCATCTAGAAATGACAGCAGTTCAAGAACAAGAGATGTAATATCTTTCTGATCTTCAAAGTTTAAAAAAAATTAACTGTCTTAAGTGGTACTAAAAAATTGGAAGGCAGCACATAAAAAATCAATTAAAAAATCTTTTTCTGTATGTCAGACGACATAATCATCATTTTCAAATCATTCACCAAAGTTGTCTAACTTATGTAAGGCTCTACATCCCTCCCCCCCCAAGATACCACTTTGAGGTAGATGAAAATGTCTAAAAGGACCACTTTTTTGTGCTCCAGTATAACTAAAATTACTGTTCACAGGAAGTACATTTTGGTCCATCACATCAGCATATACTAACAAAGTTCTTACTTTATTATCAACTTAATATTTTTTTTGCTTCCAGAATGCCCAGTAAAGCTGAATTTTTGTCATTAAAATGATAAAGTCTTCAAAAATATGGGTAACAATCTTAGATGTGTTTTGGCAAGACAGTTCAGCATATATAAAATGAAAATAAGACACTTCATTTCACAAATACATACACAAACAAAACCCAATGACTAAAACACTAAAGTTTCACTGTTCTCTACTCTTCTTACACAGATGGTTTAAGCATGCAGCTCACAATCTATACATAGTTTCAAACACGATTGTCACAAAAATATTTCAAAACAGAGATGAAATGTATAAAGGCACACATAGATTGTCAATGGTTATCTCGGTTACATCACATTTCTTTAGAAACAGAATCTTTTCTGCTCCTGTAAACAAGTTTATTCTCACACATTTAAAGTGAGGTTAGTGCTGACAAAAAATTATTGCTATACTCACAGTTTGAGTGTTTTCATTGCGTATGAGGTACATTTTCTCCATCCATATACCCATACTGTTCTCACTTGAGAATAACAGCCAATAGAAGTCTGTAGACTACAACTATTCCATAATTTTTCAATGACATTGGAATGATAGCAAATAACGCTACAAAATACCAGAGATCAAAAATTTCTCCTTATTGAGGTCCAATATAACTTCTTCTTCAATGTATGAACATACTGTGTTTTTAAACCCATCAGGGAAAAAATTATTCTCAAAATGGATCACTAAGTCCTTGAACACTTTGTCCAAGACTATCCATTCACATGTATCCTTTGATAGATCCTCTTTCTCCTAATTCTGTTGATTTAGCAGTCAACTTTTCTTTGGTGGTCTGTCATAATGGTCTTTTACACTTTTCACTAGCTGTTTGATAAATATTTTGTAGATTTTTCCACAGTATGTATGCACTGTCTTTTGTAGTTCCAGTTCTAAAGGTTTTAATAAAGAATGAAGCTTGCCATCTTCAAAAGAACACTAGAGAAAGAGAACAAAAAGACAATAAAATATATACAAATTTAATTTGGGTATTTCCCAATTTCTTTAGTCAAATTATTGTTCACAATCTCCATTAAAATCTTCACAAATATATGTGCTTTAAAAATATTTTGGTGATCTCACAGAAGAAAAGGGAGAACGCTATGGTAAAAATCCCTGGGGATCCAGGAAAACCTTTTCAGGGAAGAGTCTAGGGAATAGGCAGTCCAGGCTAAGGGAACAAGGCACTGAAGGGAGAGGCATCCTAGTGAGAATGGTGAGAGATGACTCAGAGTTCTGACTATATCTGAGATAAAGTAATAAAAGACTGGTTATTTTGGTTTTTAAAAGGTAGTCTTCAGGGAGCTCTGGTGGCCTAGTGGCAAGAAGCTGCACTGCAATCCCAGAGGAACACGGTTCGAATCCACCAGATGCTCTGCCGGAGAAGGAGGCGCAATATCCTCCTGTACCAGTCAGATCTGATTTGACGG